GGTGCCCACCTACCCGCCCGAGTCCCTCGGAGACGCCGCCTCCACGACTGCCGTGGGACTGTTTGCACCCGGATTTGCCTGCGTCCTGTGGACGGTATTTCTGCCTGATCCTACCCACTCCACCGTTCCTATAGGGCTGTACCTTCTAGAAATGACTGTTTAATGACCTCCAAAAACTTGTTTTCCTGTCTGCCCACGGGACTGTATGTGACTGGGGTTGAGTGTCACTCCTCCTGCATCTGTCTCTGACTCTTTCTGCCTGGGTATCCAAATGATTGTTTCTTTCTGGGTCTTCATGTGTCTGGTGGTCTCTGTCTGTCTGTCCACCTGATTCTGCCCGTGTGACTGACTGGCTGGGTCTGCCCTTGGTTCGTGACTTTATCCCCATTTCTCCAACTCTGGTCACGTGAGCCTATCCATCTAGGTCTGAGTACATCTCTGCCTGAGTGCACACAGGACCGTATCTCTCTGCATCTGTGTCTCATGGTTTGTCACTTTAATTCTGCTCATCTGATTACAACTCTGGATTTCCTAGTGTTGGTGGCTGATGGTGTTTTCTAAGACTGTCCTCATCACTTGATTGTGAGTTTGACAAACAGCTATTTGGCTGGCTGGCTTTCTGATTGAATGGGTGGCCAACTGTCTGTGGCTGGCCATGTGCTTCTCTTACTGTCTCATCCTTCATTGTCCAGCTCTCTGTCTGAGCAAATGGCTGGCTGGCTCTGTTGTCCAGGTGTCTGACTTTCTGGCTGCATGTGTCTGATGCTGACTGGCCATCCAGGGCTCTCAGCTCCCTCTCCAGTGGCCTCTGCCTTCCTAGAAAGACCTTGTTGCCTCTCACCTGTTCTTCTCTTGGAGCAGGCTGTGCCTTCGTGAAGTTCTCCTCCCACACGGAGGCTCAGGCGGCAATCCATGCTCTGCATGGCAGCCAGACCATGCCGGTGAGTAGGAGCTGCCCTGGGCCATGGTGGTGGGCATGGGAAAGGGGCAAGGATGTTCTGTTTCTACCATCCCAGCCATCCTGGCTCTTCTTCACAGAGGGCACAGGTGGAAAAAGGGGCAGTCTCTGATGGGTGTGAGTGGGTGTATGTGTGTGTGATCATGAATGTGTGAATGTGTATGTGTGAATGTATGTGTGTGTGCAAGGATGTACTGCATGTGAGTGTGTCTGAGAGAGCATGTGAATCTGAGAGAGCATGCACTCTCTCATGCATGTCTGTGTGAGTGCATGAGTATGCCTGGGTGATGTGGGGGGAACAAGTGCATGCATGTGCCTCTGTAGGTGTGTGTGTGAGGGTAAGTGTGTGAATATGTGTGTGGATGAGTGCATGCGTGTGAGTATGTGTGGGTGAGGGCATGTGATTATGTGTGCAGAGTGACTGTATATACTTATGTGTGTACTTGTGTGATTTTGTGCATGGGTATGTAAATGCATGTGTGCAAGTATGTGTGAGCATGCATGGTAAGTGTGTATGAGTGCTGTGCATGACTGTGAACCTGCATGGTGAGTGTATGTGTGTGAGTATATAGGAGGGGTGAGACCTGAAGGTTGCTGGGAGTTGTTGAGGCTCGCAGAGGGACATGCGGGTATGGGGAGTGACAAGATCAAAGGCAGGATCGGAATGGGCAGCCCCAGAGGAGCTGGAGAGGATGGGCTGGAGGGGCCTGCAGTTCAAGGCTGAGGGGCACAGATTCTTCCTATGGCCATGGGGAGCCACAGAGGGGTTCAACAAGGAAGGGAAGGGGCCAGGTTAGTTGGAAATGTCTCTTTGGGGCCAGAGTAGGGAGTGGGCAGAGGCAAGACTGGAGCTGGGAACTTGTGGGTCAGCAGTGGTGTGAGGCTGGGAAGGACCACCAAGGCACTGGGAGTGGCCCTGCCCCCCAGGAAGGAGGCTCTAGGGACCACTTTCACTGTATGCAAATGTCTAAAGGTGCATGGGAAAGACAGCCTTGGAGAACTAACTCTCTCAGTTCTTGAAAATGGGTGTGAAGTGCAGGGCAGTCTCAGAAGAGCAGGCATCAGTTTTACTCACTGGACAGAAATGATTTAGCTCATCACAAAGGTCAGGCTTCCTCCTACTCAGAGCTGTCCAGTGATGAGGTTGGCAGGCATAGCAGGGAGTGAGCTCTCCATTAAAGGGGGCATGTCAACCTCTCTGGTGGTTGGAATCTCACATGTTCTCAGGTGCAAGATGCCATTTGCAGAGTTATCCATCTGTGCCCCATTTCTCTTTGGTGATTGGATTCTCACCTGTTCTCAGGTGTGGGTGACAATTATAGGATCCTCCACCCAAGCCACCAGTGTTCCTTTCTAGTAGTTGGATTCTCCTCCTGGGTTTTTTTTTTTGTGTGTGTTTTTTTTAAGATTTTAAATTTATTTTTAGAGAGAGAGAAACATTGATATGAGAGCAAAACATTGGCTGCCTCCTGCACATCCTCTACCAGGGAGCCTGCAACCCTGGTATGTGCCTGGACCAGGATCAAACCGGCAACCTTTGGTGCAGGAGACAATGCCCAACCAACTGAGCCACACAGGCCAAGGCTCCTCCTGTTTTTGAGAGTGTGCCTGAGAGTCAGGGTCCTTCACTGTACCTCAGACACTGCCCCCTGGGCCCAGATGTCCCACCTGTGTGCAGGGGTGGTTGCACCATCAAGTGCGAGACCCAGGACTCTGATCTTCAGGTAGTCTGACTGTGGAGCCCAAAGTCTGCAGCTGGGGCTATGGACAGGGCCAACAGCTATTGCCATCTACACCCCTCACCCAAGGGCCAGAGCTGGTGTGGTTCTGGGGTCCCCAGATTCCTGGTTACCTCCCTCCTTTTTTCTTTTCCTGCTTGCGGCTGCTCCTGTAGGGTGCCTCCTCCAGCCTGGTGGTCAAGTTTGCCGACACAGACAAGGAGCGAACACTACGGCGCATGCAGCAGATGGTGGGCCAGCTGGGCATCCTGACACCATCCCTCACCCTGCCCTTCAGCCCCTACAGTGCCTACGCCCAGGCTGTGAGTGACCTCAGCGGCGCTTTCAGGACCACTTGGAGGATCTGACTCAGTCTCTCTCTCGATCTAAGTCTAGAGGGGTTTGACCTCTCTGCCTATCTTTCTGTCTCCTACCCAGTCTCTCTGACCTAGGGTTCTATCCTGGCCATTGCTGAGCCCACAAATCCAGGCTGATTCCTGAGCCCCAACCCTAGCTGAGCCCCCAGCCATAAACTGAGCCCTGGGTCCAAGGTGAACCCCAACTCTGGACTAACATGACCCCATGCTCAGCCCCCAAATAATTCAGGCCAAGCCTCAACCCCAAACTGAGACCAAACCCAGGCTGAGCCTCTAAATCCAGGCTAACTCCAAACTGAGTCCCAACCCTGGCTGAGTTAAATGTTGACTGATCCCTTGACTGAACCCAGATCCCTGGACGAGCCCTGATTCCTATGAGCTCTGCACCTAGACTGAGCCCTAACCCTATGCTGAGCCCTGATCCTAGAGTAAGCTTTGATCCCAGGCTGACCCCCAGTTCCTGACTGATCTCTGACCCTGGCCTGAGTCAAGATATCCAGCCTGACCCCCCTAGTTACTGGAGGACCAGGCCTCCCCCTGGGAGCTATGATCTCAGGGCAGGTGACACCCTGATTGTGCATATTGACTCCCTCTCTACCACCAGCTCATGCAGCAGCAGACAACGGTCCTGTCCACGTCAGGCAGCTACCTGAGCCCTGGCGTGGCCTTCTCACCTTGCCACATTCAGCAGATTGGCGCCGTCAGCCTTAATGGGCTGCCTGCCACACCCATCGCCCCTGCCTCTGGTGAGAGTCCTCCAGAGGCCCAAGGATGGGTGGGCAGGGCCAGGGCTAGACCCAGGCTCCTCATGATGTTTTTCTGCTCTGCAGGACTGCACTCACCCCCACTGCTCAGCACTGCCGCCGTGCCCGGCCTCATGGCTCCCATCACCAACAGCTTTGCAGGTGTTGTGCCCTTCCCTGGTGGGCACCCTGCCCTAGAGACCGTATATGCCAATGGCCTCATGCCCTACCCAGGTAACTTGAGTGATTCCTCAGGGCCTAGGAGAGCATTAGGGGTCAGGGATGGTGTCTCTAGGACAAGCATAATTTCTTGTGCCTTGGTGTCCCATGGAACAGAGGGACAGAACAAAGGGAATCTCAGCTTGTGTGCACAGAGAAAAAGGTTAAACATAGGAACTTTGTACCCAGACATTTCTGGGTTCATATTCAGGTTTGGAGGCCCTGGGTGATTCCTTTAAGTCTCTGAGTTTCAGTTTGCTCATCTATGGAACAGGGCAGATAATATCAGTCATCTCATGAGGTTGCATTGACAATGAAATCATTATGCAAAATGCTTAACACATCACCTAGTACTAAGAATGGCACCATCAATCTTAATTATTAAACATTACTGTTTGGGAAGATATCAGTACCCATATTCATTCATTCATTTATTCATTCATTCATTCACTCAGTATTGACCATGGACTGATTTGGGCTGGGCTCTGCACCTTTCCCTACTATACCATGATTTCAAGGCAAACATCTTCCAACACCTTGCTGAGGTTAAGTAAATCATCTGTGCTTCCACCAATGAGGAGGATTTATTTTTATTTTTATTTTGAAATGGTTGAGGCTAACGACGAGTTGCCAAAATAATACAGAGAAGTCTTGTGTACTCCTCACCCAGCTTCCCCTGATGCTACCATCATAGATAATTATAGGACATTGTCAAAACCAGGAAACTGACATTGGTGTGTACAATGAACTCAACTGGAGTGGGAGAGCATATTCAGATTTCATTGCTCTTTACATGCACTTGTGTGTGTGTGACTCTACACCGTTTTATCACAGGTATAGATTCATGCAATCACCACCACACTCAAGATACAGAACTGTTCCAGCTCTACAAAGTAATTCGTTCATGCAACTCTTTTACAATCACATCCCTCCACACCATTCTGTCCTCGAGCAACCTCTCTCTCTCCATTCGAGCAGAATCTTTTGGCTAAATTTTCTTGATTCACCAGCTTTGGTGACATGGACAAACTCTCCCCTCACTTACCTCCTTCACTCAGGGCAGTAGAAAGGTCACAGCCACATAGGGGGGTCCATGAAGTGACTGATGAATGAGGTGTAGGCAGCAAGAGAGGGGAAGGGACGGGGGTGAGCGGTGGTCTGGAGCAGAGGCCTGGAGTCCTGGAGAATCTAGAGAATAAAAGGAACGAGGGGGTCCTGATGGGGATACAGAGATGGGATGTTTCAAACTCTCTGGAGTCCAAGAAACCTGGATTCCAGTTTGGCTTCTGCCATTTCCTATCTGTGCCCGTTACTTCAGATCTTTGAGCCTCAGTTTTCCCACCTGTAAAATTGGAATCATACCTGTAAACCATTTACGCAGAGGTGAAGCGAGGGCGGACGCCTGTTGCTCTCTTTCCGGCTCTTAAGAATTGCGGGTGGATAGAAGTCTTATGCTGCCCCCGCCCCGCTTAGTCCCTTTGTCTGCCCGCAGCCCAGAGCCCGACCATGGCCGAGACCCTTCATCCCGCCTTCTCCGGAGTCCAGCAGTACACAGGTAGGGAGGCGGCCCGGCCCGGCCCGCGGTTGGCCCCGCCCCACAAGAAACCCCGCCCCACAAGAAGCTCCGCCCCCAGGGCTCGGCCCCAAGGTCTGTCTTTAACCTGGCTTCCCAGCTCTCGGCGCTGCCCGGGTCTTTCGCGTCCGGTCCCGCCCCTCAAGTCCTGCCCGGCCCCTACCAAGGCCCCACCCCACCTCTGACTCTTCCTAAGGCCCGCCTTAGCCCCTCCCTTAGCTCCTGTCCCCGCCTCTCAGGTCCTGGCCCCGCCCCTTTCCTGTTGCCGTGGCCCCACCTTTAGGCCTTCTCTTCGTTGTGGCCACGCCTCTCCTCCGCAAGGCCTGGCACTAGCCCCGCCCTCATCCTAGGCCCCGCCCCTAGAATAAGTCCCGC